CGCTACTGAATTTAATGACAAGACTACCCTGCTAAGTGCACAGCCCAGAAAGCCAAGCCTCTCCTTGGTGTGAGGGCCCTTGTCTGCTCTCTTATAAGGTGACTGATAACCAGCCACCAGCATATATACCGTGTCATCTCATGGATGCTATTCTGGCAATCGCAGGAGCAGCTATTCTGATGGACAAACCTGCATAATCAGTTCTGGTTTCTTTGTTACACCTCACACTGTGAAGATGGCTTCCGCTCAGCATGTCACCAAAAAAACAAACACGTGCTCCGCCTATCCTTGCCATCAATCTTCCCTCATTTTTGTCATTCAAGGCCCATCCGAGCCACCCCTACAGCCTCCCTTCATCCTCTTGGGAAAATGAAGTGGCCCAGATCTGGGAGCTTAGACCTTTGATAACTGCCTCCCACTGTCCTTCTGCCAACTGTACATTAGAAAGAGATGAAAACACAGAGAACAGAGGAACTTTACGGACCTCCCAATGCTGGTTTCCTTAAGAGAAAAATAATAATAATAAGCTCATTAAAATCCAGTTGAGTCTGACATTTTCCCTTTTACCTTTTCAATCTTTTTATAGTTTCGAACCATTAACTATCAGCATGAAGCTAAAAGGTAGATCTAGCCGTCTATGAAATGGTGACACATTTGACAATAATACTTTTGAGGCGCCTGTCACGTTCTCTCTCCAAACAAGTCTCATTAATGCTCAAACTGCTCCGACTGTCTTTATTTTCTCTCAGCTTCTTTTCTCTTCGTTTCTCTCTAATTAGCTTAGGGTTTTTTTTTCCAGGCTCCCTTGTTTCACAGTTTGAGTTTAAAAGACAAGAAGGAAGTAGATGTCATTTCCCTGAACCCCAAGGCCGAGTTAATCAGCAGAATTAATGACTCTATTATCCATTAGACCGGGGGCAGCAGCTCTGATCCCCCAACACCCTGTGTTCACCGTCCACCATGCTCCTTCATTCTGCTCTGACAACTGTAAACTTTTGCTCTCTCTCAACAAATTCTGAGGTTCCACTCATTCCTACAGCGTTTCCTGTTTGGCTCCGGGGTGTGAATGGGGAGGTGATTGGGAGGTGTCGCTGCCTCTGCCTGCGGTATCCGTGCTGAGAACATATCGTGCTGCTAAATGAGGACACATGAAAAGAAGTCCCAGGCAAGTCTGAGAAAGAGCCCTGACCTAGCTGTCCTGAGGTGTCTCGCCACAATCAATAATCCCTCGCTGCAGAAACTGCATAGGGACACAGCATCAGACACACACACTCACACACAGACGGACTAAAAATGCCTCTCTGTTTTGTCAGAAGCATGCCATGGAAATAAAACCACAGGAAACGTACACTAGCTGAGAGTTAATTGGATACATTTCTGGCATCATCGTGACCAAGGGTTGAATAGCATTTGAAATGTATTTTTAGTGTGTGAGGGTCTGGAATTCTAATACTTGAGTTTCTTCTTCAGCAAAATTGAAAGGACTATAATTCTTTTACCCACAAAGTCAATACTAACAAGATCACTGAAACATTTAGTGAATATACAAAATGCTTCTTTTAGAGGCATCTATCTGGAGCCCAACAGAAGATTTATTATATTAGCAGTATTATATAGCTCATGTTCATTGAAAGCTTCAAGAGAACACTGGATAGAATAAGAAAGTAGAAGGGGACAGGCTGGAAAGAAGAAGCAGATGAACAAGATGGGAGGGGCAAGAGAAGGTAGACACAGGTGTGAAAACACCACGTATAATTACCCGCTACTAATTTTTAAAATTTTGTTATTTATTTATTTAGTGTGCCTGTGTGTGTCTGTCTGTATGTGTGTGTGATCATGCATGCATGTGTGCCACGGCATGTATGCAGAGGACAGAAGACAACTTTTAAGAATCCGTTCTCTCCTTCTACCATGTAGGTCCCAGAGATCAAATTCAGGTGATCAGGCTTGGTAGCTGTGACTGATGAGCCATCCCCTCTAGCTCACCTGCTAATTTTTTTTTAATGGAAAAAAAAGGAAAGAACATTCTCATTCCTGACAGTACATGTTAATCATGGCGGTACTTTGAAATATTACTGCTCACATTCATTGTAGTTACATTGGTCCGAGTCAGGGCCTGGACACTGCTAATCACATGTGGGGCTGGGACCATGAACACCCGCCTCAAGGGAGATGGCCAGCAGGCTTTGCTGTTGTTGTTGTTGTTGTCGTTGTTGAGACAGGGTTTCTCCGCAGCTTTGGAGCCTGTCCTGGGACTAGCTCTTGTAGACCAGGCTGGCCTTGAATTTAGAGATCCGCCTGCCTCTGCCTCCTGAGTGCTGGGATTAAAGGCATGCGCCACCACTGACTGGTCCAATAGGCTTTTTCTCTCAGGGTCCTCTGTGAAGACTTTCAGGTGTCAGTGAAGAGCCAGGACCTTTTTCATAGTGACATTCACTTCAACCCCGGCGCTTAGGACATGGTCGGACTCCCTAGACAATTCCTGGGACAGCAACTACTCTGAGTTACTAATGAATTTGGATTTACAAACTAAACTCTACAACTGAAGACAGGGTTATAAATTTATCATTACAATTTTTCAATTATATCTAGTTATCTATTTATTTGTGGGTCTGTGTGTATACATGTGTATGTGTGTGGATGTATGCATGTACATGCGCTCATTCAGCACAAATGTGAAGGTTAGAGAACAGCTTATATGAATGAATTCTCTTCTTCTACAATGTGGGTTCCAGGAGTCAGATTCAGGTCATTCTGTTTGGCAGAAAGCACCTTTGCCTGCCCTAAATTTTCCATTTTCAATGTTGGTTTCGTGTTAAGATCAATTGAAAAATTCCTTAGAAATGCAGACTTCAGAGTAATTTAGGGCCCAAACACCGTTATCTATATTTTGTAAAACTTTTCAAGTGGTGGTCAGATTTTCACAGAAAAAAGGCAAGAAAATGTCACAAAATATATGCAGAAAAGTGTGTTACATTCTGAGAAGGAAGTCTTTTGTTGCTATGGCCAAAGGCTTTGGACCCTGATGTGTATTTGAATTCAAGGTTCACCATCACTAAGTCATGTGACCTTGGACAAGTTACCCAAAGCCATTGCATACTGGGAACGTAAGAATAAAAAGGTGGGTCCCTAATGGTGCTTCTATAACCTGCCCCGGAGTGAGGCACACAGCAGAGGAGTGAGCATGTAGATATCCATTCCTCTTCCCTCCTCTTCCCACTGAAGGATGGGGGGAAGGGAGGGAGGGAGGGAGGGAGGGAGGGAGGGAGGGAGGGAAGGAAGGAAGGAAGGAAGGAAGGAAGGAAGGAAGGAAGGAAGGAAGGAAGGAAGGAAGGAAGGAAGGAAGATAGTACAGAGACAGGCTGACATCTGACAAAACATAAAAATAAAATATCAAGGTTATATGGACCCATGCCCCTAAATCTAACTTCCAATAGCAGGAGGAGAAGAGTTTCAATGCAAAAGTGCTCTGGGTTTCAAATAGTTGCAGTGATTTTCTGAAATACACTGCTCAACTCCTAGCACAGCCATGTCTCATTGATTTTCATAAGGGGTTTGGAAACCACTCAGAAACTAACTCATTTGTCATGACTCATGACAAATTCATGAAAAAAATCAGATTCCATTCGAAACTGCAGGTGTTAGATATAAAACAATGAAAGACACAGTAAAACGGACCCTCTACCTTTCCGTTCTCCAAAGTGGCTTCTTCCTCTCAGACGTGAGAACCTATCTTCTATTTCTTTATTTACCAATACTTTTTAATTTAATGACCCTGCAGAACACAGATCTCCCATTGGACAGCACCTATTTTACTTCTGGGGTGTACCCAAAGGACTCTGCATCCAACTACAGAGACCCCAGCTCATCTGTGCTCGCTGCTACTCTATTCTCAATGGACACTAAACACAGGGTAAAGCAGACATTTGGAGAATGAAGCCCAGTAGCCCGTGTTTTCACGCGTCCTTTGAATGATTCTAAAGGCTAGAAATTTTCAGAACCTTGTTTTTCGCAGAGAGAAAAAGCACCGAGCTGAAACTCCCATGTTATAAAGAGATCCTGATCAGGGTTCCCACGCACCTGGATTCTCCTCCTAGGGGCTCATGCGCACTCTGTGCTCGAGTTCACTGGGGGAGCACAGACTGTGTCCTATCCTCCCTCCACAGGTTTCATTTAACCCAGAGCAGGAAGAAAATGAGCTCACAGTAACGTGGCCCAAAGTCACAAGGTGCTTGAAGGGACATTAATTACCTCCAAAAAAGAAATAAATAAAGCATATCAGGCAACAAATTCTATCATAAACAAAAAATAATTAGGACAGGAAGACCAGGAACTTAAAAGTTAGCTGATCTGTTACATCAAACAGAAAAACTACTCACTAACACTGCTTACAATTTTTTTTTCTAATTAGTTACTAATTTTACAAATGTTAAAGTAGATACAGATATGCTAAGAAATAAGTCATTGAATTGAGACAAGCTAGGGGTAAGTCTAAGTACTCTAAGGAAAATGAAGAAATGTTCAAAGTAATTAGAGAAGTATCTACAGATTAAAAACTGTAACAGCCAACGTACAAGTACATTGACTAGAATAAATGGCAAAATGGGTATTACTAAAGAAAACACTGATGAATTCGGATTCACAGAGAGAAATGACCCGGAATGGAGCAGCAATACAAAAAGATGGGAAGCAAATGGGAGTGTGAGAACCACGACACAACCTCAAACAAGCCAACATACGCTTAAACAGAGTCCCAAAAAGATGAGAGAGAGTGAGAGAGAGAGAGAGAGAGAGAGAGAGAGGGTGGGGGGGGGGGGGGGGAGGGGAAAAGCATTGAAAGAACAAGCTGCGAATCTGACGAAAACTACAAACTCACAGTTTTAAGGATCCCAACAAATGAAGAAATCAACACTAAGTTCATTTAAACCAAAGTGTTTCAAAATAATGCAAGACCGTAAAAACACAGGTGAAGAATGGGTGCAGAATGATAGTAGACTTACCCAATGTAGGCCAGAGCACAGGCTGGGGAGACAGTGGGGAAACAGCTGCCAGGCTGTGTCCTCTATCCAGAGAGGGCATCTGAAAACAAAAGGCAAAATAAAGACATTCCTACCACACAAAATCTGAAAGAATGTACGGTGTGCCTATCAGCACCACAAGGAGTATTGAAGAGCTCTCAAGCAAAGGGAAGCTGAATGACACCTAAGGAAATTAGACCTGAAGAGTGGAGGAGGGAACAGCAGACATGGTAAACATGCAGGTGGAGAGGGAAGGTATTTTACACATTATTCACAATCATTTTAAGTAAGTATATAATGTAGAAAAATAGTAAAATATGTTGTGGAAAAGCTAAGGGCATGGAATAGAAGTATGTGGTTGCAAAACTCTTGGGTGAATCACAATAGTACCGGGGAGGTCATTTCTTTTTATATAAAATGGCATAATGATGCTGTTGATACAGAAATATAGAGTCCTAAGAAGAATCTACAATCAAAAGAAAGAAGACTCACGTTACCTCATTTCCAGACATCATGATGGGGCAAAAATAAATAAATAAATAAATATGGATCAATGAAACAGAGAAGACTTTGAAGCAACCCTTTCATAGATCATCAGTTCACATTTGACGTGATACCAATGACAGTGAGTAGGGAAAGGGAGCATCCTTCCATGGGTACCAGAGTTAATTAGATGGCTGTATGCAGGAAAGGGATGAGCTGGTCTTGGGGATACACCCTATAATCCCAGCACATCGGAGGTGGAGCAGATACAAATATGCGTGTGCATTTGTGTGTAGGTGCAGGTGTGTGTGTGCGTGTGTGCTTGTGTGTGTATGCATGTGGAGGCCAGAAGTCAAAGTCACTTTCCACCTTATTTTTTTGAGTCAAGGTCACTTGGGCAACTCAGCTAGACTTGTTGGCCAGCAAAGCATAGGGACCTCTTGATGTGGGAGTGTCATATATCAATCTGTTGATTTCATTGGTTAAGTTATAATAAACCAGCTGCTTGGCCTCATGGCTTGGAACATAGATGGGAGGAGTAAACAGAATAGGATTCTGGGCGGAAGAGGAAGTGAGGTCAGACTCTGCTCTGCTTCCGGAGAGACCCGACAGCTCTGCTGGAGCAGAGACACCATGCTCAGCTCTCCCAGGCAGATGCACGCAATGAAGCTCCTCCAATCCCGGATGGATGTAGGCTAGAATCTTCCCTGTAAGCGCACCTTGGGGTGCTTACACACATCATTAGAAATGGGCTAGTCCAGGTGCGAGAATTAGCCTGTAAGGGTTAGAGTTCATGGGCCAAGCAGTTCTTAAATGAATACAGTGTGTGTGTTGTTATTTCGGGCATGAGCTAGCCAAGCGGCCGGGGTGTTGGGGACGCAGCCACGCCGCTTCTTATTTCAACAACCTCTGTCCCTCATTGTTGGGACACACCCAGTTTTTACATGGGTGCTGGGGATCCAGGCTCAGGTCCTCATCTTGTGCAGCAAACACTTACTGCATGAGCATCTCCCAGCCCCAACTGCGTGGTTATTATTATGACCCAATCACATGAAAGTACACTCCAGGAAGAAAAGGTTTAATCAGAATTAAGAACAGAATTTTACTCTTCAGAGACCAGTACACTAAAAGGGACATGGTCACCATGCATGGAATGGAGCCGCAAATCCAATGACGAACTCAGTCCTACAAAATATACAATGCTGAGTAACAAATAAATCAGAAACCTAAGAAAAATGCTGCAAAATATTTGTCCCAAGGCTTCACTAAAGACAATATACAGATCGCAAAAAAAAAAAAGTATAGGAAAGATCCTTAACATCATTATTCATTAGCGACAATGCAAATTAAAGCTGCATGAGGTACCACTATGCACTCACTGGAGTGGCAAAAATTTATTTTATTTGTTTTGGTCTTTTGAGACAGGGTTTCTCTGTGCAGCACTGACTGTCCTGGACTTGCTCCAAAGACCAGGCTGGACTTGAACTCACAGAGATTCATCTGCCTCTGTTTCCCGAGTGCTGGGATTAAAGGTGTGTGCCATCATCACCTGACAAGAATGGCAAAATATAAAGATCTAAGCATACCAGAATCCATAATAATTTTTGTCATAAAAACTAAGAAACATTAGCCAAAACAACTGACAAGTTATGCACATAAAATTAAAAACATCTTTGTAGGGGAAGCCCAGCCAATTACCTTGCTTGTAGGGTGGGGTCCCCTGAGGAAATTATTTACTTATAAATATTGCTGGTGTGCTCCCTTGCCTTCTCTTCTTCTGTTTTCCTGTTCTCTGCGGGAACCTCGGTCTTGTAAGTCATTCCTTTATTAAAGCTGAATATTCTATTATAATTTCTGTCTGCCGTTCATTTCCGCCATAACATCTTGGTGCTCTAACGTGGGGCTCTTTGCCTCTGCCCCTGCGCGGTCCGGGGCGCAGGCTTGAACTTTAGATTGAGAGAACTGCCTGCGTCAGCCGATGGTGTGCACCACACTCTCTTACTGAGGCTGCTACAGATTGAGAGCAGCCCCCGAACGCCCAGCACACAAGCAAACAGGGCCTCTTACACAGGCTGCTGGCCTTGCAGCCTCCCAGCTGCCTTGGAAAACAGCGCAGGACACACGTGACTTGACGTGACTCGGGCCGCACGCAACAGCCTACGCAGCCCCGCCCAGCCCACCAGACTTGCTCGGGCCACTCTGTAGTACGGAAGAGCAGCGGGCGCTTCCCGCCACCTGGCTAGCTTTACCCGAAATAATTACACGGAAACTGTATTCTTTCAAACACCGCTGGGCCCATTAGCTCTAGCCTCTTACTGGCTAGCTCTTACACATCTTTATGATAGAAAAGTAAAAACACTATAACATGTTGCCAGGCAGTGGTGACACACACCTTTATTCCCAGCAGTTAGGAGGCAGAGGCAGGCAGATCTCTATGAGTTTGAGGCCAGCCTGGTCTACAAGAGCTAGTTCCAGGACATCTAGGGCTGTTACACAGAGAAAGCCTGTCTCGAAAAAGAAAATTATAAAATATTTTAAAATGAGATTTTGAAATGGCAATAACAAAATGCGTGATAATAGGTTATTTTGTCTTGATAGACTTACAACGAATTCTTGCAAGTTATTTTAGCTCAAAAGGAAAAGGGCCAAAAGGAAAACAGTCACAACAATAAGAAAATCTGTTCCTATCCCTGTGTTACCAAGGAAAGAGAAAGCAACTCGATATCTTATTCATGAGTTGGCAAAATCCTGGCAAACATATACCACTACCAAAGGACATATCCAAATTAGAATGCAAATAAATAAGTGGGTGTTGTTTTGAATAGAAATATATAAAATATGGATCCCTAAATTCATTCCTAACTTGAGTGCTGTTCAAACATTGGAGACACTGATTCAAATGCTCATTCAGAATCCTGGACTATTTAAACTTAGCATGATAGAGTGTGAAAATCTTTCCATTATTGTTCAGTCTAATGGGTAATAAGTTGGTCATTTGGTGGAAAACTATTTCCAGTCGTTTAGAAGAATCTGTTACTAATTCACAAGAATAACTGATAATCCCAGGGCACTTCGTTTATTCAAAGAGTAAAATTAAACCATAAAGTTTCCAGTCAAAGTTTGGATGAAGTTGTTTGTTTTAAATAATTACACACTGGAGGAAATCATTAAATATATCTTTTAAAAGAAAACACTCAAAACGAAACAAAGGCTTTGAAAAAAAATACCACAAAACGCCAGAATTGGTGTGAGGAAAGCCAAGAAAACTGAATATAATTTAAGGAAAAAAACAAACTGGGAAATCACATTTGTAAGGCATGTTCGGAGAACTGCTAGCCTCGATGCTTGAAAAGCTCAAGCGCATTATTTGGGATAAGAAAGAAAAGGTAATGTAATTAGAACCGATAATTACTCCAAAGAAAAGTTTTTTTTAAATGTCCAGCAATCACTAAAAGATGATCTTTCTGACTTATAATCAAGGAAATGCAAACAAAAGCAATGACATACTGATAGACAAACAGGCAAACCATCAAAATCTGTATCAAGAAAGGAGTAAGTAGGCATCTGTGACCATCTGGAGAACATTTCAGCTCATCAGCTCTGACAAGAGATCATTTGTGAAGGAAGACAGGAATAAATGGGAGAAAAACACAAAGGAGTGAAAGAAAGAGAGGGAAGAAGAAAGGAAAACAGAGAAATCAGCATCATTGAGGCTGGAGAGATGGCTCAGCAGTTAAGAGCACTGGCTGCTCTCCTAGAGGTCCTGAGTTCAATTCCCAGCAATCACACAGTGGCTCACAGTCATCCATAGTGGGAGATGATGACCTCTTCTGGCATAAAGGCATACATGCTGATAGAGCACTCATATACATGAAATAGGTAAATAAATCTTTAAAAAAAATGAAAGAAATTGGTATTATTTCCCTAAAACATTATTTAAGCAAATAATGGACTAAAAAGGTAATAAATGACAATCTTTGCCATATTTCAATATTTAAGAAGAGGCAACACAGTAAACACAAACATGAACATTTAGGTAATGTTAATATGCCATCAGGATGTTTCAAATTCCACCAGCACCCAAGCAAAGTATTAGCTGTGGCATGCAGAAGAGGGGACTGAAGAGATGGCTCAGTGGCTAAGGGCCCTGACTGCTCTTCCAGAGGATCCAGGTTTGAGTCCCAGTTCCCACATAGTGACTCACAAGTCAGGACTCCAGTGACCTCTCCCAGCCTCCGTGGGCACCTATATACACATGCATGTTTTACAGTACATACATGCAGTCAAAACATCCATACACATAAATAAAAAAAATGTTCTTAAGAAAAGAAAGAGGCAGAAGACACCAAGGCAATAAATTTAATTACAAGTAGATAAAATAAAAAATCATGAGACTCTCATGTAGAGTTAAAAAAGGGAAATTCAAAATAAAAAAATATAGAATAAGACAGTTGAAGGAGCAGTGCAAAGACACGGTTTCAATAAATCAGTATTCACAGCCAGTGTTCATTAATTCATCCTTTTGGTCCAAATCCAGTTAGATATTATATCCAGGTGCAGTGTTTGGCACTGAGCTAA